CAGACAGCCTGTATTTGTGTATGGCGGATCCAAATGATTTCAAAATCATAATACTAGAGTTTAGAATCTAGAAAATGAATCAACTAATATTTGGAGCAGTAATTGTGGTGATTGAAGAAACTGAGATCGAGAAAATTTATTTCATCTGGGAATGAATATATGGAACCTGTCTTACTTTAAAGAACAAGTGAAACTCACGATGAGAATGTCTTCTGATTGTCTTTTACTTTCAAAAAGTTCGTTTTTTGTCAATTTAAATCTGATTTTTTGTCACCTGTCAACAGTAATTCCACATCATTCCTTGTAGTAATTGGATCTTTCTTTTATTTTATTCAGACCAGGGAAGAGTCCCTCTTATCCTGATATCTATTATGGAACAAAATAAAAACGGTATTGAAGTTTGATGCGAACAGCCCTTCTGTCCCAAATAAGTTTCAGAAATACATTCTGAGAATTGAAAGAGATCGAACGGAATAAATAAATATCATAAACTTGAGAATAGTAAATTTGGTCATAATGTCGATATTTTCCCTAGTTTATGGACAATCTCGGTCTTTTGAACTTTGATTGATCACCTGGGTCATAATCAACTGCATTTCGAAGAAGCTGATTCTCATGAACCTCAGCTTTTTCGAAAGTCTTGATGTTTCGTTCTTTAATGACTGACACGATTGATGGGAGTTTCAGATCCCTGGCGATCTGGTTATTCCGAACATACCAAGGAGATCCTGTCACCATTCTCGCGATTTTGTTTTGTAATGTTTGTAATCTGGTGATATGAGATTTAGCTGTGTGGCCCCAGACTACTGAGGCATACAGTAAAATTGGCCTGATAGCCATGATATAAATATTCAATTTTTGTCTCAAGCCCAATTTACTTCGTCTGTTTAGAAATGGATATAGGGCTCCAATGGCTCGTTTAGCTTTAGAAACTTGCTGTTCAATGTGCTGGGCCCAGGTGAGCTTTTTGTCAATGCACACACCTAAGTATTTAACTTGTGAAGACCACTCTAACTCATGACCATCCAGGACTATTCTGGTTCTGGGAGGCCTCCGCTCCCTTCCGAGTGCGACCAATTGTGTTTTTGTAGGATTTAATTTGATCTTCCATCTTAGGAAGTACTCCTGAAGAGAATTCAGTGCGCTTTGGAGGTTCATAGCTGCTTGCTCGAAATTTGTCGAATATGCAAGAACTGCCGTATCATCAGCAAAAAGCGACATCTTGCACATCACTGGTCTTGGCAAATCGCTAGTATATAAACTGTACAACAGCGGAGATAAAACTGCACCCTGAGGAACACCAGCTTCAATGGGCTTGATACCAGATCGTTGATCATCAAGTTTTACTTGAAAAGTTCGATTTTTCAGAAATGAACACATCAACTGAATCAAATCGTCAGGAAAGCCCATATCGATCATTTTGTATAAGATACCATCATGCCACACCTTGTCAAATGCTTTCGCTATGTCAAGGAGAGCAAGATGGGTCTTTTGTCTATCATTTCTCAACGATATTGTGTTCTCAATGAGTCTCAAGACTTGTAGTTCAGTTGAGTGGCCAGTTCTGAAACCGAACTGCTCATCTGGTATAAGCCCGTTGTCGTCGATAAATTCCTGTAATCTCTGTTTAATCACTCGCTCAGTTATTTTAGATGGAGAGCACAGGAGACTGATAGGACGATAGCTCTGCGGAAGAGCATTATCCTGGCCTTGCTTCTTAAGCATCACTACTTCGGCATGCTTCCATCTTTGAGGGAAATATAATAGTTTCAATATGGCGTTGATGATTTTACATAAGTAAGTGATGAAATTACCAGGAATCCTTTTCAATATTCTGTTTGTAATTCCATCATTACCTGGAGCTTTCCTGAGCTTTTGTGCTTTGATGTAGCCGATTATTTCATCCGTAGAGGCAGGCCTTATTCTTAAATCGTGAACATCATTATTCAAATGGGCCAGGACTACTCGCTCCACAGAACCATCCCATTCCTGCTCATACTCCTGCGACTCATTCAACTTGAATTGTGATACAAGTGACTCAGCAAAGACTTCAGCTTTTTCGGCAGTGCTGTACTTGACTCCGTTCTCCCCTCTTAGAGGAGGTATGACGGTTTTCTTATTCTTAACTCTTTTGATCAACTTCCAAAGATTATCAGGACCTTCATCCAAATTTTCCAGTGTGGTCTGCCATCTTGAGTTTCGGAAATTATCAATCTCAGTTCTCACGATATTACGAGCTTCGTTATATTCCAATTTATGAGGACGATAGAGAGTTCTCATGGCTCTTCGTTTTAATCTGTTTCTTTCTCTTATGAGATTTTTCAAGTAAATTGGGAATTCATTAGCTTGAAAACTGGTAATATTTGTTATATGGGTGTTATTATTCAAAGCTGTGAGAACTTTCTGTTCGAAGTCAATCACAGCACTGTCAATTTTTCGAGGAGTGTCGAGTTCCTCAGGGGGGACTTCAACATCCTCCAAATCTCGCATGAAGTCTATCCAGAAGACCTTCCTGCGTTGAAAGATTTCATCTCTTGGAACGTGATCTCCCAGCACCAGAAAAACCGGATTATGATCAGAAGTCATGGTACTAAGAGTGAATATCTCACTATACCAAGGAATATTCATCACAAGAAAAATATCCAAGACATCTGCTGAATTGTTCCCGAATTGGTAGTGAGTAGGCTCATCAGGACCGAGAACCATGTATTCATTTCTATCAGAGTGCAGTCTCAGTAGTCTACCACTTGCGTTGGTGACACGACTCCAGTCAGTATGTTTGGCATTCAAATCGCCACCAACTACCATAATCCTTCCGTCATCAGACGTCAAAGCATCCAGATTCTCAGCAGATAAAACTCCGTTTGGAGGTTTATATACTGAAATACATCTAACTATGCCCCTAGAAGAGTGTAATTCTAGACCCACAGCCTCTAATGGAATGGTTACCCCTACATCGATCTGAGTGAATTTCAATGATCTTTTTATGTATATGGCAACTCCACCTTTGGGACGCCCTGTCCTATCTTTCCTGATTGAATTATAACTCTGTAGGTTCAGAATTTCACCCTTCAAGTGAGTTTCCTGCACTAGAGCAATATCGACATTATTTTGAAACAGAAAATTTTCGAAATCTAGTTTTTTGCTTGAGAGTCCATTAGCATTCCAGGTTACAATCTTCAATGCCTCTGGAATCATAATATTTATTTTCCTATAGCAGTATTGGCGTTGATACCGAGCGTCTCGGCAATACCTGTAAATTTACGGAATATCTCCTTTATCTGCTCCAAGGCAGTGAAGATGTCCCCTGGTTCGCTAGTGGATTTCAAAGCATTAGCGTAACTCCGACTTCCCGACTGATGTGAATTCTGAGAACTTGACTTGACCGGCCTTGAAGTCACATTACTTTTCCTTACAGGAAATGCCTCGCACCCCCTGAAGCTAGCAGGATGCGCGCCGCCACAGTTAGCACACTTGGCTTTAGTCGAGCTATCCTTCTGACAATTAGCTGTCAAATGATTACCGCTACATTTAACGCATCTCGGATCAGCAGAACATCTCGACTGTGCGTGTCCGAATTTTTGGCAGCGATGACACTGTCCTACCTGTGCCTTGGGTCTTTGGGGTTCTACCTTGATGGTCAAGCCAACCAACCTTGTTATATCATAAATTTCACGATTTTTCTCAGTTTTTGGCAACAGAACCAGGACTATAGGCATTGCAGTGCCATCGCGGCGCTTCATACGATGTACTGATGTGACTTCAAAGCCCCTCTCAGTCAACTCCTCTGATATATCATCCGGCTCGATGTGTTCCGAGACGTTCCTGAGTACAACTCTCAGTGATTTCTCGTCTGGCAACTGATAGGTATGAAACGGATACTTTTTATTATCTAAAAGTCGAGTGAGTGCCCTGAATGAATCAGGGCTGTCGCAGAAAACCTTGATACCTTCCGTTGTATTGACTGCTTTAAAATAGTTGATTTGCAGGGTTGGTAGCTCTTTGGAAAGACTTGTCCATTTAGTTTTATCTCTCAAAATGATAGGAGGGACTCTTACCTGGTGATTATCTACATTTTGATTAACAGATACATTATTTTTGTCTATTTTAGTAGGAATTGAATCTCGTAGACTACTACTTGAGGGCTTGTGTTGCGAATTCATTGGGACCTTTGATCCCTGTCGCTTCAACTGGACAGAATTCTGCTGAAATTGGCTCATTTGGGGCATTTGGGGCGATCTTGATCTTGATCTCAATTGTGAATTGAAGTAGGGACAGGAAATATCATCTCTGACATTTCTATCAGACAGTGATTTTCTTGCTCTGACGGACTTTTGTGAAGAGGATGACTTCACAGAAGAACATTCCGACATCTCATCGTCTTGTAACTTACTCAGTTGGTCGAATCGGTTACTCAGAGGAATCATTGGAAATTCCTTCTCGTAATTAGTCTCATGTAAGTCATTTGTGTCCTGAAATGGCCTTTTACCATATTTCGGAAGATGATCGGACTGTGGCTGATCGCTTACAGGACGGATAGACAGCTGGTTATGGGGGTTCAGTTTATTGAGTCTCTCCAATATTTGATGTAGTAGTGTGACTAGAGAGTCACCATCAAGGTCTTCTGGCAGATTCAACATGTTTCCCGGCGAAGAGTAACCGGAAAACTCGCTTCTAATTAAATTCGTATTAGTCTGACAGGAGCGTGATAAAAATGCGACCGTTCTCTTGACAGACAGAACGCGAATGATTCCTTGTAGTGAGACGGAATGAAGAGTATCAACCGAAATCGGAAAAGTTGCAAATAAAACGACATATTAAACTGAGTTCAATGGCGGAATCGTCTAAATAAAACGCAACTATTGTTTCGGAGAAATTTCCGTTCGAAATTTTTTTGTCGGAAAAGAGTTTTCGAAAATAATTCCGCGACCCCACTCAGCTATAACAAAAACAATTTGCCGTGTACTAAAATATCGACATATAGAACCAATTTTTTATAGGTAGTTTCAAATTCAACTTTCGAAACCCTCGACGTCCGGATAGACGAAAAACGAACCTCGATGTACTTCCCCCTGGAGAACGTCGAATCCGAAATAGTGGGCTACCGAAAAATCCACAGCCGCACCAACGAAGACGTAGTATTACCCACCGAAACGTATGGCGGAGTTTTATCAGGCAAGTAGGAGTAAAAATCACGGAAATGGTCCGAGATGAAGGCCCAATGTATCATAATGTGACTGACTTTTAATCAGAAAAAAAATCCTCGAGTTCCGGCATCATCGCAAATGTAAACCATAGTGTGATCGTTCCACGTTACACCCTGTGTAAGGTTCGTTCTGCGGACTTTTTCACAGTGTTCTAGCTTTCTTGGAAGTCGATGAAATATCACATCTGATATCGAAAACCATCACATCTGATATCGAAAACGAAAAATAATCTAATTTTGTTTATTTGTTTATTTATTCATTGATACAATACATCCAGCAGGCCCAAAAGCCTATTTACAGGTGTATATAATTAGAATTATGAATAATTACACACATAACAGAATCAATTCTCATTTCAAACGGCCCCCCCTCTATATCTCAGCTATCAGTTGTGCGATCTTCACCAAATTTGTATCGGTATGAATAATCATCAATATGACCAGTTCTTCAAACACAAACATCATTTTAGACAGTGCCGTGCGTGTTTATTGAAATGAATAGGGGTCAGTTTTTTATCAAATCATATTAGGCATTTTTTCACAGGAAAACTGACCTCATAATATTGTTCTTCATGGTTTCAAACCCACATATGTGGATTTTCATAAGATGCCTTGATGCCTATGAAGGTTTTCAGAAAAACAGGCACATCTAAACAGCATTTTGCGAACGTAATAATTATTTACTCGAAAACGGTGAGTTCAACATAAAAAAGTATAACTCGTTTTTCCTTCCAAATCATGATTTTCCACCTACCGGAGCCATTGAACGTTCCAAAATTCGTAGTTGATTTGAAGTCACTATTTATTCGAGACTAAAAATGAAAAAAATGAAGTCAATCCTGTTAATTCGAGAATCAGGTGATTTTTTGCATATGGAGGTTCGAAAGCTTGAGGAACAATTATCTGAGGTTAGATTTCCTGTAAAAAAATGCCTAATATGATTTTATGAAAAATCGACCTCTTTTTAGTTCAATAAAAACGCACGGTATTGTCCAAAATTTGGTTGGAATCGCATGACTGACTGACAATAACTGAGATATAGAGGGGGGCCGTTTAAAGTGAGACACGCTGTATACACTAGGAACCTTATTAACACTTCTAGATATAGTAAATATGGAGAATTAAAATGATGCACTATATTGGAAATAGGAATATGAAATGTGCTACAAAACCTAGATGAAATACGCGTTACATTGAATAGCATATGAGACAATAGAGGTGCACAATCTATTTGTCCATGTATGCTTTTATATGCAAAACACATTTATCGGCTTTCCCTGAATTTCTTCAGAGATATCATATGAAACACGCCCAACAAAGAATCATAGCTATAACCTCTCTCGGGATAAACACCATGTTTTTTGAAATATGCATATTTCAAGAATTTTTTTTTAACATTTGCTAGGCTAGATATATGTTTCATATGAGACGGATTCCAAACGACATTGCAGTATTGCATATAAATGGTTTTCAAGGAGTAAAAGTTCCTAAATTCCTTGCAGTTGCGTATCAAAAAACCCATAATTTTCATTGAAGTTGATATCACATTCTGAAAGTGATTGGAAAACGTGACTTTTTGATCAAACAGAACCCCTAGATCCTTCGGATTCCGTGATCCGAGTTAAACTTTCACCATCTAGTATATAGTTGAATGTTACTGGTATGATTTTACGAGTGAATGTCATGATTTTACATTTATTTGTATTCAAATGATTACACCAATTTATCAACGAATTTAAGTCCTCCTGCAATGTGAAACAGTCTGCTTCACTTTGTATTTCACGATATATCTTCATGTCATCTGCAAATAGCAGTTTATGAGAAGTGATGCCATCGGCTATGTCATTTATAATTAGTATAGCGGCCCCAAAAGGCTATTTATTAATGATTTAACAGTTTTGGCTGGAATTCTATTAGGACCACATGACAACTTATTCTCCAGTTTTTTAGAAGCTTCAATAATTTGTTGAGTTGTAATTGGTGTTAAATTCAAGTAAAAATGGTTTAAATGATTTGGCAGGTACGTATCACTGTTGTAGTCATTGTCATCTTGACTATATATACCACTGAAGTGGGTTGCGAATGCATTTACTATAGAGTGTGCTGACGAATGTGTCTGATTATTTTAAGTCATTTGACCTGGAATGCGAGACATTTTTTTTGAATTTATATAATTCCATATAGTTGAGAACTGTATCTCATTGTTCCTTGAAAATTTCATTAAATTCCATGTGCCTATTTAACACCAATCAGTGCAGACGAATGTGCGGAAAGAATTGGGGACTGCAACCAAAAATGACCACATGGCTCTATGCCAGCGTCATCAGGCCTATGATAGCATATGGGTCAGTAGTTTGGTGGCCAAAGACTCAACAGGCTGGAGTGATTCGAAGGCTCAGTGCTATTCAAAGGCAAGCTTGCCTGAGTGCCACTGGTGCAATGAAAACCACTCCAACAGCCGCTTTTGAGGTCCTCTTGAACCTGCCACCACTACAAATATATATTCAAGGCGAAACCAGAGCAGTCGTGAGTAGATTGTCAATGGGTCAAACACCCATAAGCAACGCGCACGGTAAAGACTATAGAAAGCTATATGAAGAGTTGGGAAGCGACCCCATCATGGGAATGCCAACGGATGGCATAATTCCAAAATATAGCTTTGGAAAAACTTTCAGAATAAGTATAACGGATAGAGAGGCATGGAAGGAAGGACCTCCTATCAATGTAGACATTGCTGTCTATACGGACGGCTCCAAAACTGAGGAAGGATCAGGAGCTGGTATTTATGGGGCCAAGCCAAAGACAAGAAACTCACTGAGCTTAGGTAAATACGCGACGGTGTTTCAGGCAGAAATTATTGCAATACATCATTGCGTGAAAGCAGTCAACTCTATGCAAGTTAACTCAAAACTAGTATGGGACTGCATAGAAACCCTGAATGAACCGGGCAGTCAAAACAGACTGACTCTAGCATGGGTACCAGCACATACAGGGTACGAAGGCAATGAAGAGGCAGACTCACTTGCCCGAGCAGGAGCAAACAAAGCTCTGAATGGCCCAGAACCCTTCTGTGGTATTGCGAAAGCTATACAAAAGACTAGTATCAAATCATGGATGCAAACCAAATCTCAAGAATGGTGGAACAACTCGCCAGGAATGAGACAGGCAAAAGAGTTCATTAAAAAACCATCGCCAACATTCACAGAATATCTACTGAGCCAGAAACGAAGTTCAACTAGAATACTAGTGGGACTTCTCACAGGGCGTTGTAGGCTCAATAAACACATGAGTACGATAGGTCTGACTGAAGAACTGCTGTGCAGGTTCTGTTAGGCAGAAGAGAAAACAGCAGTACGCATACTCTGCCACTGTGAGGGCTTGTCAAGACCAAGGTTCCGTACGCTGGGTGAGGAAAGGAAGAAAAACCAGAAGCCCAAAGATACACAGGGGATCTGAAAGCTAGCCTATGTAGTCTCATAGAGAAGGCGGGGCTAGCCGAAGAACTCTAATCGATTTTGAGGGCAGACACAATAGATCTGAAAAGGTCGCGGTGTGGAGGCAGATAGGCCGAAGGACCCATTCTAAATCTAATGCCTATTTAACGAAAATTTCAAGTAAAATTCCATTTCATAACTAAAAGAAACTTTTTCTGAACCCTGCAGGCAAGGTGCCGCGGAGCAAAGACACTGCGGTCCTGGTCCCAAACATCGCAGATTTTCTAGTCCTCATGAATGCCAAAGTCAGCTCCAACGTAGTGTGCTTGCCTAAGGGAGTGAACAGTCTGCCGCAGTACGCTCTGCCCAGCTTGGAGCGGTTCAAGAAGCTGGTGTTGTGGTTCGGGACCGACAACAAGTCTTGGAATGCCGCCAAGTTGTTCGCTAAGAAGCTGGAGGAGAAGAGATGCCATCTAGTCAGGTGACCACAAATTTAAAGAATACAGAATGAATGGAATAATACAGAATCAATAACGACGAGGTTTCATTAGAAGCATATGAGTTTAATGATTTGTGGTTGATGTTTTCGGATGTGAACATCTCAATCAAAATATTGCAATGCTAGAAGAACATGTCGATTTTCTTATTTCAAATGGTTGAAAAATGTCGATTTTTCACACCCTATATCTCTGTAATCATTTCCGCTAGACCCCAAGTGTGATGTATCGATGAAATCAGCTCTTCAGAGAGAATCTGAAGATGCAATGAAATACAGGGTGTTCCATTTAAAATAACAAAGTTGTTGCTACTTTTCGATAGAAGCGGCAACGCCGCAGAGCTGAAAATATTTTAGATCGATAGATCAAGAGCAATTACTTGAGTTACAAAATTTTCAGAATGATCTTATGTCCCGTTCTCCGTAAACGTCTAAGGTGCCATCTACCGTGACCCACCCTGTATATGAAAATCTTGTCTGATGTTCATGTATTTGGTTATTGAAAACATAAAATTCATTAAAATATGTTGGCTGAAGACCTTTGGTTATTCTTAACATAAAAACCATACTTAAAAAAATAATCGATTTGAAATCGACAGCCATTGTAGCATATTTAACATATGAACAATGGAAGTATAACGACTGCATCTCAAAATGATTCTCATGCCTCGATTTCGAAGTTTTTAAGTTGAGAAACCCTATTTTGGTTTATTAAATGCATTGAAGTTGGACAGTACTCAAAATGAGGTTTAATTATGCAATTATATGTTAATATTCTGGAATGAAGTAAAAGTATTTGCTACTCTAGAAAAAAACATTTTTCGAAATTTTTTTTATAATATACTCAGCATGACTATTCAAACTCAGACTGAAGTCTACAATAACTCTCAGATACCTTATTTCAGGCACATATTCGAAGGCAGTGCTATCAAATTTCATTTCATTGTAAACAATAGAGTTTAATTTATATTTTGTTGTTATTACCATAACTTTTGTTTTGTTTGCATTCAATTCAAATTTATTTTTATGTAAATAGTTCTCAATATTATTAGAACGTCTGAGGATATCTACAGCATTGTTCAGTTCCGTATTCGAAAAACAAAGTATCATCTGCAAACAGATTAAGTTCACGTGGCCCAGGAACGTAGTAAATATCGTTCAAGTATATTATGAATAAAAGTGGGCCTAGCACACTTCCTTGAGGAACACCAATGTTGATATTTATCTCATCAGAAATTTCAGAACCAATTTTAGTTTTTTGTTTTCTTCCACTTAGATAACTTATTAACCAAGCTAGTGCAGAGCCTGTTACTCCATAATAATTCAATTTTCTAATCAAAATATTTCTCTCAATTGTTTCAAATGCTCGCATGAAGTCGAGAAAAATAGCTACAGTGTATTTATTATCATCATAGGCATTTTTCCATTTAGAGAAAGTATATTGAATAGCTGATTCACATGAATGATTCTTTCTAAATCCTGACTGTTGAACTATGAATAATATATAATAGGGGTATTCCGGAGCCCTCGTATCTGACTTCGTATATTTACGAAAATGGCCTACGTATTGTTACGAAACCTCAAACACGGGAACGACCCATGGATAGCAATGTAAACTGTCAGCTTATTCCAAAGCTTCCAGTGCGAAATTGAAAAATTCAAATCCATCATCTGTCTTGGAAACAGAGCTAGAACTGTATGACTGAAAATACAATTTCAATAATTCAAGTCCTTCTCCAAGATTGACACATAGTTCTTGTTCTGATTCTTGCCATTTTTAAAATACCTTTATCCAAATCAAAATGCTCAATACCAGAGATTAGTTACAATAATCAGAGGTATTTATATTGTGCTTTATGCTCAGACCACGCAGCTCAAACAATAAAAATTCGTTAATCATAATTTTGGATAATAACTATAACCCTAATCTCATCACTTGAAACACGGGACACGGGACAAAATACAAAATTCTGTCAGGACAGTTTCGTAAGAACAGCAATTTTGTAATTTTACACAAGAAAATGGTAGTGTAAAGTTACGAAGGACCGCGTTTCCTAATCGACCAATCAGATTAGTTTGCTGAATACGACGATACGAACATACGATAATACGAAGCATTATACGAGGACCGGGAATACCCCTAATATTTTGTATGTAACTGATTGCTCGTGAACTGCTAGTTCAAGTACTGTCTCTAAAGTTGGTAGAGTATTTATTGGGGAAATTCGCATGCTTCAATTGTGTTGCTGACCTTTGGTATAGGAGTAGATTAGATTAGATTTGGAATGGGGCCTTCGGGCTATCTGCCTCCACACTGCGACCTTTTCAGATCTATTGTGTCTGCCCTCAAAATCGATTAGAGTTCTTCGGCTAGCCCCGCCTTCTCTATGAGACTCCATAGGCTAGCTTTCAGATCTCCTGTGTATCTCTGGGCTCCCGGTTTTTCCTCACCCAGCGTAAGGAACCTTAGTCTTGACAAGCCCTCACAGTGGCAAAGTATGTGTACTGCTGTTTCTTCCTCTTCTTGACAGAACCTGCACAGCAGTTCTTCAGTCAGACCTATCGTACTCATGTGTTTGTTGAGCCTACAATGCCCTGTGAGAAGTCGCACTAGTATCTAGTTGAACTTCGTTTCTGGCTTAGTAGATATTCTGTGAATGTTGCGATGGTTATTTATAAACTCTTTTGCCTGTCTCATTCCTGGCGAGTTGTTCCACTATTCTTGAGATTTGGTTTGCATCCATGATTTGATACTAGTCTTTTGTATAGCTTTCGCAATACCACAGAAGGGTTCTGGGCCATTAAGAGCTTTGTTTGCTCCTGCTCGGGGATTGGTATAGGAGTAACAGATGTTATCTTCAGTTGATTTGGGAATATTCCTTTATCTAGAGATGTATTCACCAAATTCAATATGACATGTCCAAATACCTCAAATGTTTCTTTTAAAAACTTGCTATTCAGCACTCCATATACATTAACAATCAAGTGTAATTTTAGTATAATTTAGGCCAACAGATCAACAGAAGCTTCCTCATCTGGATGCAACACAAGATTTCAAATCGATTATTGCAGCTGCCCAACCTGTTTGGCACAAATCCATTACAACATTTTCGACTCTGAGGGCAGAGGTTCTATCAGATCTACAAAATATTGATAAGGTATGTTGGAAAAATCAGTTATTGTCACTAATATTTGTAATGACTTTATCATCATCTTCATTATTATTATTATTATCATTGTATTTTATTCACACAAAATATGACAAGTTCAAGAAGTTTTTACATTGAGTGGTTTGAGGAAACCACCAGAATCAAGATTATTGATTACACCACGGGAAATGTAGGGTTGTCCATTCTCTGCTTGTATCCAAAGTTGCCCAGACCTCAAGGAATGTGTGGTTAACGGATCGACCTCCTCATGGACACCCTGTATAAGTGAAAATTCTAAGTACCTTCAACTGTTCAGTGGGCCATTTGACTGATTATTTTTTAATTTTTCTTTCCTGATATACACACTAATGCTTTCAATTTTGTTATTTTTGAAAAAAATTCTGAATGGTTTCAAGATTTTTGAATCACAGCCTCATTCAATGAGAAATGATATTAGGAGGCAAGATAGGTTGACTACTGGCGAGTAGTGTATATCACTGACGATAATCCCATTTGGCCATTGAGTGTCCGTAGCTCTGTTGCTCCTGCGAATTATAGAATTATATCTCCATGATTAGGGTATATACAAAGTGTAGGTATCCGTCAGAACTGAGATACACACACACTCCCCAACAGAATTCGGCCTCTATAATAATTTTCTTCATATGCATCAGCATTTTCAAAATGATATTCATGATTGATTATGTTTCTTCATTTTACATTTCATTATAAAAACAATTTTTATTTCAAATATAATTTTTCACGGGAATTTATGATGGAAAGTAGGGCTTTAAAAAGAAAAGCATTGAACTTTATTGTGTAGAATCGACGTATCTTTTCATTTGAATTGATGTTTTCTGATCTGTGGTAGAATTCCATCATATCTCAAATTGGAGTAGTTAGTTACCAGGTATCAAGATGCCTTTGTGTTTTGATTTCTGGTGAAGTATTTTATATTTTGGTTGCAAAATCGATAGGAACCGAAATCGCAAAAAACATGTTGGATAATAGCTATTTCTGTATTTAGAGCGCAAAGTGATAGATTGCCGCTCGACAAAGGAAGTTACCGCGCGATGCGGAGCGGAGCGCGGTAATCTTTGGAGAGCGACAATAACACTTTGTGCTCGAAATACACCCAAGATTTTTTCTACAAACGCAGCTTTTGGAAATAACTGCCCTGAAAGTATGAGCGATTGAAATAGTTGATAAAGTTCTTATCCATATTATCCCATATTATTATGTCCAAAGGAAACAAAAAGAGAAAAATTGAAATAACTGACTAGCCAGAAAAAAAATACTGTCTGTAGGTTAATCGAGGAGGTGGTACATTCATTTTACTTGGTTCTTTGGGATTTTCTCTCCTCGTTTCTATAAAATAAAAGTATTCGTATTATTTCAATATATTTGTAGAGGGACAAATCAGATGATTTGCCCCAAAATGTCACTGCGTTTAACAAATTTTTCTAACTGAACATATCCTCACTGAAGATGGACAACATATGGCACAGTGGAATAATATCAAAATCATAGGAAAGGAAGATAACAAACAAAAAAGAAAAATAAAGGAATCCGCTTGCATTCTTCTAAACGGAGACAATAGCATTGCTTCCTGTTCAGTTGATATTGATAGAACATGGTATTCACTACTGAAAACTGAACATGAAAATGGTAGATTCAAGATCAATTAATGAAAACATCCTGTAACTCATTTGTAGACTAAAATCACTCATTCATATGCCAACATCAGTATGACACTGAAAAGTGTCAAACTATACGCAGCACAATTTTCAAAGAAAAATAATTTGCATTTACATGTTGAGAACGGGAGCAGAATCGGTCCCGAAACGTCCAAAGATAAGTAAAAATTCGATATTTCTTCAATATATCTATATTTCTTTCATTCAAAAATTTTTTCAAACAAATTGTCACTGACAAGCTACTGGATTTTTCTTTTAGACTCCCTGATAGAAAAATTTGTTAAACGCAGTGACATTTTGGGGCAAATCATCTGATTTGTCCCTCTACAAATATATTGAAATAATACGAATACTTTTATTTTATAGAAACGAGGAGAGAAAATCCCAAAGAACCAAGTAAAATGACAGAAAAAAATGTCGGGCCTACCAAGAATTGAAACTGGACCACCAGCGTGGCAACCTGAGCTTCAGACCTCTGAGCCATAGTACGATAAACTCTTCAATCAAATTGAACATTACTCATTGATGCAATAAAATAAAGATTCACTGTCTTTCTGATGACAACAAAGAGTTTAAATATAAAGTATAATTAATTCATCGTTTTCAACAGATATGCTTGGTTCAAGTTTCGTTTAGCTGAAATCAGTTATGGAAAATTTGTTGCTATGGCAACCGTTGTCATGGTAACAGGTAAACAGAAAACAAAATCCCGTGGTGAGGAAATGCATGGTTGCCAAGTTGTATCGGGTTTAGTATAGCTGAAATCAGTTATGCCGAAACATCTATTCATTGTACCTATAAATGATAATTTCTGTCAAAGATTATACTTGCACTAAATTTGTGAAGTATTGCCAAATATCAACTCCGATTTGTATACATTATTTATTTTTCTCTCTCGTTATCTCAAATGTTCTTAGGAACTTGCATTGATTTGTAAAAAAATGTATTTTTTTGCACTCACTGTATTGAGAAATAAATCTATCTATCTATCTATCTATGGAAAAACTGTTGCAATGGCAACGATCGTCATGGTAAGGAGTAAACAAAAACCCGATTCCCGTGGTGAGGAAATGCGTGGTTGCCAAGTTGTATCGGGTTTTGTTCGACTGAAATCAGTTATGGAAAAACTATTGCCATGGCAACGATCGTCATGGTAACGACTAAACAAAAATCCGAATCCAGTGGTGAGGAAATGCGTGGTTGCCAAGTTGTATCGGGTTTAGTATAGCTGAAATCAGCGCAATCTTCGATCCTCAAATTTTTTTCTGCTAGTATTCAAACAATAACTTGATTCGAATGAATACCCTTTCCATCAATTTCTTGAAGACTGTTCGTCGTTGATCAATTCCCAAATTACTACTTCTCTGACGAACATATATGGAAATAACGTCAGGAAAAAATTAGCTTCGTTATTGAACAGAGCTAGACAAAATAGCGAGCGACAAAATAATGCGGAACAAATAGCGCATAAGAAAGGATACTACTTTTTCTAAACAATCAGACCTAACTCGGCTCAAATGAACCTTCTTAGAAAAAATATATTTTTCAACATCGATCAGATTTGGTAGCAAGGCATCGTTCGTGTGTGTTTGAAGACTGCATAAAAAAGGACACTACTTTTTCCAAGCAATCTAACCTAACTCGACTCAAATCAACCTTCTTCTTGAAAAACATATATTTTTCAACATCGTTCAGATTTGGTAGCAATGCATCGTTCGTGTATGTTTGAAGACTGTTGCTGAATATTCCAAAATGTCTCTGTTTCTTTTTGATTTTGTCGAATAGCTCGGCACGCGAAAAATGGTTACATTGAAGTGTTTTTGAAATTAATGAATGAAGCAATAATTATTCTCCGATACAAATTGGCAACCACGCATTTCCTCACCACGGGAATCGGGTTTTTGTTTACTCCTCACCATGACGATCGTTGCCATGGCAACAGTTTTTCCCTAACTGATTTCAGCTATACTAAACCCATATGACTAAACCCTATACAACTTGGCAACCACGCATTTCCTCACCACGGGAATCGGGTTTTTGTTTACTCGTTATCATGACGATCGTTGCCATAGCAACAGTTTTTTCATAACTGATTTCAGCTAAACGAAACTTGAGCCATATGCTTCATCGGGAGCTTCTTGTAGAAATTTGTTGGTATATATCTTCAGCGGTGTATGTTTTGGATTTTTCTCGCTTTATATCCAATAGATTGTTTCTTGAGAAACGCGATAAGTTTCAGATACTTATTGATTCCGATATTATCTTTAACATTCAAGCATGTATAAAGTACCATCGAATATATAGACCAATGAGTTGATGACTTCAAAGTCTTTGATTTTTACCAAAATAAGCCAGTAAAACGTTTTCTGAATACATATTCACCATCTCGGAGTGGCACCAATTTATGAATATTTTATATTGTAATTCATATTTCTTCCTTGATTTCTCCGGTAAGAGATTCAAACTCTTGCGCTTTCTGCTATATCAGGAGGTGTGTTTGATGATTCACTGTCACTATTTTCCATCATGAAAGAATTGGGGGTTTTCAAGAATAGATAAGTATAGGTTACAGAGATGTGCGAGCGTTTTTTCAATATTTCCGCTCACGAGCGCAAATTCTGTCAAAGAATGACATTTCTGGGAAAACGTCAACTTTGTGCTGGAATTTGAAAGCGTCAAAGGCTACTTTGTTAAGCGTTTGTAGAAAAAGTTTTTTGCCGTTTAAATTGCTGCCAAATGATTTGCATATAACCACCTACCTCGGGGACCTTTGAGACGTTATTAAGGATCCCAATACACACCAGAAACCACACTTATATTTCAGGATCTAATAATTCTTTATAAAAGCACAATATCAGTGGACTAGTAGCCCTTTCTGTACACGCCTGTATGCTTCATAGGTTTTTAATGTGAAACTTTAGATGCTTGTAGGTGCAAGGCGTGAAATGGCGGCGCTTTCCGACGCTGAACAAAATCCTGCAGGGCCACAGGAGCGGCGAGCTGACCGTCTTCACCGGCCCCACGGGCTGCGGCAAAACCACCTTCATCAGCGAGTACTCGCTGGATCTCGCCATGCAAGGTGTAAGTAAATGGGAACTGTCATTATAGTCAAAGAGCCGACTTCAAATTACGCCCATCCTCTGATAACGAAATAACCTATGTCCCAAAGGCATGTAAAAACAATTTCATTTTGAGCAAAATTATCTGAAAATGGCATTTATTTGTGCGGTAATTTGCGCTAACAGGATGAGGATGGGGAAGTTTCCTCCTGATGAATTTTCATAAGATAAGTTCCGTACTCTCCAGTTTTATGTCCACGCTGTACAGAATAGCGACCGATGAAGTCCAACTCGTTTTCATTTTCAAATTGAAGCAATTTCTAATTTTCCGGGCGGAAAACCTACATTCTGAATCTAGTCTGAAAATAGCTGGCGAATAGCTAACGAATAGCTATCGAATGAAATACGAATGAAAAAAATAGATGAAGTTAAACTTGTAAACAAAAACATACATAACCACAAATGCACTCGGAGCAGGGATTCAGAGGGTAGTTGGCTTCATTCTGACAGGTTATGGTTTTGTTATTTATGCATTGAAATATCTCGAATAGAGCTCGATCCTATTTTTGTTATGTTCTGGTTTCCACGAAAAGGGATATCCTGTAATATTCAGAGGACATCATGAGATCCAAGGAAAATAAGGTAGGAATTGGTGTTCTTAAATTTCTGGAGGTTATATGCCTCGGGGAACACCTCCCTTGACAATGAGTTCCAGAGCCTCGCTGTTCGTTGGATGAACAATTCTTTGGAAAGAGATGTTCTGCAGGTCTCCAAAGTGACCACGAAGGGGTGCGAAGCCTCAACTCGGTCAGAACAGAATAAAGTCGACACCCATGGCTCCTTCCTCTTGTTGTGCCTGTCAATATTTTGAGTGGTGTGGACGGACTCGGAAGTATAAGGCACTGTTGCAAGATATAATCTGCAACTATGCTAGAAAATAGATCAGTTTTATTAAGGAACGAATTCAATAACACATTGTAATGTAACGATAGTGAAAAATTATAGATACTATCGCAAAATATCATAATTTATCTTTATTAGTAATCATCAAATTCATTCCGCCAATGAGAGATTCATGGGAATTATTCATGATACTTGACAAAGTAGGATTGAAGAACCTATTATATCCAGTGGCGGCTCGTGACTTTCATGACAGAGGAGGCTGAATGATATGAGATTAATTGTGAAAAACAACTCTCTACTCACCGAAATCAATAGCTTTAATGACATTCTGTTTACCAGCTGACCTGGACTTGATACTTGAAGAGATGTGTTTCTGTGATTTGCAGTGTCTATCCAATCCGCGAGGCAAATTTTTCAAATCATTATATCCTAATCGCCCCCAACATGATGACTTATCGGTTGAAAATAATACGCAGTACCAACAAAATAGCTTATTCCTTACCTCAGATCCCGTCAACCAGATATATTTTTTATAATTATCAGAATTGAACGAACGATTTTGTTTGTTACCTGTTAAAATCAGATTTTTTAATTCCGGAGTCGGACGTTTGTTTTTCACAATCAATTTATCTTCATAAGACAAAGCACTGAATGGGTGTACCAAAAAGTATTCCACTAAATCGCAATCGTTTGAAACACTCATTCTTCAGAAATTCATAGAGCCCCAAACCATTAACCTAACATAAACATAAACAATGCATACGCGCTGGATTGTCCGCAATTCGCGACGTGACACGACAAACACGTGCTATTCGGTCGTATTCGGGCATTTGCATTGCGCGCGTGGGTTGGGATTTGTGAAGGAATCTAGCCTCTTATAGATGTTGCCAAGTTGAATATTATACGCGTGATTTGCAGACTTCAACGCGTGATGCGTGGACAAGCACTGTTGCCAATTCGAAAATATTTGTCTAAAAACAGGAAATAAAATCAAAATCCATGTATTTTGGTGTCCTTTTAATGAGAAAGTATAGATAATATCAGTTTGAGGAAAATCTCTGAGGAGGCTCAGCCTCCGTTGCCTCCTCTGAGGAGCCGCCACTGCCTATTGCTGTTAGTTATTATAGTTCAATTCAAAGAACAATTTCCGGAAATCTAGACATACTGATGATGTCGGCAACGTCGTACTGGCACAGGGAATCGTATTTTAACTCTGTCTGAATGTGGATTTTCAGAAAATAAGTTATAGGAATGGTGGAGGAGCCAAGTTCCTCTTTCATTTATTATTTTCTGAAGTGATATTTGATCTTACGAAAAAACGAAAAAATACGTGTATATTAATTTTTTACAAACTTCACAGTGAGATAAAAACCTCAATATAGGAAACTTCCCCATTGAACGGTAGATCTCGAAATCCTACCTGGTCCATCCCTAAAGTTGAGTCAAATCCTCGGCACAACCCTAGACTGCAGAAGATAAACTATAAGACGATTCACTCGTTTATTTTTCGACTTCTGAGAGATATTACCATAACCTAGTCGACCGCTGGATTCTACCGGCAAACGACTGCCAGGGCCTTTGAAATCGCCAGCTGATTAGCTGTCAATCGACCGCAACCGTTTGACTGTGCAATGTTTTATGGGAAAGCAAAAAATGCATTGTTTCACTATAACGACCAACATTTCAGTAAGTGAACTATCTAGAATTCAGTAATCTTTGACACAACGATTTTTTTGCTGCCGCCATTCTAGACATACTTCCGTCATATGATAACGAGTTGGAACAAAATGCGAATAAAAAGGGATAATTTTCCTTCGCGAATATCCAAACGTGTAGAACTGAATGGAGAGAACATTACAGGTGGATGCATCTCCATATTAAAGCTCTGACCGGTCGAAAAATGTACCTTCACTATATTTATAAAGTCACTCTAGGTGAAACTATATCTGTCTTTGTTGCACGTGACGCTATATCAATAGTCTATCCTCTTTTACACGTGACTTTCAATGATTTGTATGCAACGGTAAGGCAGGGTAGGATCTAGTAGATTATACAGGGTGTTTCAAAAGTCACTATCAAGATGTCAAAATAAGACTTTCTTTTTCTATAAACATGTCCGTAAACGGTTCGTAACCGATCTATTGTTAAATTTTAAATTTTTTTAAAATTTTTCTCCTTAGCTTTTTCAGTTTTCGAGATATAGAGATCAAATTACCTTTCAGATTTTACATCATACAATACGCTGAATGATTATGATAATCTACAGGAAAATATTTTTTTAGGGGTCAAGCCTTATTTCGCTCCATAAACTTTCTTGTGGTGGGTGCGCCGTTGGTGAATTTTGAAATACGGAATGAATTCTTTGTTTTCTTTCAACTTTTTTTCATCTCTTGTGATTTTGACACATCTGCGACCGTTATCATAAAACAATCTAAATATTTTTTGTAATTCCTTAGATATCGAAATTTCTTCTTTCTTACTATCATTCGGCATACTGTGTGATGTAAATTTTAAACCCTGAAAAGTAACCTAACTTCCATATTTGATCTGAATATCTCGAAAACTGAAAGAACAATGAAAAATCTTGTAACATTTTGTATATCGGTAATGAAGTGTTTGCGGGGAAATGTTTATATCAAAGAAATCATATTTTGACCTGAAAAATGAGCCACTGAAATCTTGATATTGAATTTTGAAACACTCCTTCAACTATGGAGAATGCAACTCTGACAGTATTATTTGTCAGATATGAAATCAAAATTTGAAATTATTCATCAATGAAGGCGGCAAGTGGAAAAAATTCACTGGTCACAATGATATCCCAGTCATTATAGGAACCTTGTTCTTTTGTAGGTGAATACGTTATGGGGTAGTTTCGAAATAAGGAATGCAAGACTGGCCAAAACCATGTTACAGCAGCTCTCGGGTCTCCCTCTGGATGAAAATTTGCATTTATTCGACCAATGGGCCGATCAGTTCGAACAGTTGCCCATACATTTCATGACATTCCATGGTCATCAAAGTATCAAAATAGTAATGGAGGTAAGTGATGCAAATGTAGCGGCTCAATATTTTTTCCATTGAAATCTCTGCTCTCTAGTACTTTATTTATTCCTGTCACAATCTCTAGGCGGGGGTTGCCTAAGTTGTGATCTAAATTCATTAGATCATGAACTGAAGTGATGATAAAAATAGATAATACCAAAACGTTTTCAGTAAAACATAAAGTGCAAATTTATTTTCATAATTCTTATATATAATAATTACTCACTACATATACCTATGTAAATATCAAGTACAACAAATACAAATAAACATATAACAAAAGAATCTCCTGAATCAGTATAAATCTGTTAGTACCTATCACAGTAATCAAGCACAGTTTCTCTATATCCTAGATCATTATCAATCTATATCACAGTATTCAAACACAGCTGCTTATAAAGGGGTATTATTGATGTGAATTAATGACTTCTCGAAAGACTAAAATGAATTACTGAAAATGTCAACATGTGTAAATGCCTCCACAGTACATTTTTCAGGAAGGAAAATAAAACATAGAAAAATTGAAAAAGAGTAGGTTGAGTTGGGATTTGAATCCGGGATATTTCTATCCATATGTATTAAAGTTCACTACACTGTTTTACCACTAACCCAACCGATTTTTTAAACTCGACACGTGTTTCGCTAACTATGTTAGCATCTTCAGGAGTTGAATAAAACTGAGTTTTAATTCTCCAGATTAAAACTTCAATTTGTAGATTTTGATCTATTTTATCTGATATAACTAGTGAGGTATCATCTGCATATGTGAAACGAGCCTCTTTGGAGATGGATTCGATATTGTTCACATATAACAAAAAAAGTACTGGGCCCAGCACTGAGCCCTGAGAGACATCAACATTATTATACACATAATTGGATGTATATGACCTTTTCACGGCGTTATTAACATTCATGACACTGACATATTGTTCCGTGTTGAGACAAACGTTTTAAGCCAATTCAGCGCATTTCCTTGTACGCCAATATGATGGAGTTTTTCATAAAATTTCATGATCGACACAGTCGAATGCCTTTCTGAGGTCACAAAAAACCCCGATAGGGCACTCGCCTCTGCTAATTGAACTTAAGACGTTTGAATATAAAGAATGAATCGCATCGTTGGTTGACTTTGAGCTCTGGAAACCAAATTGGTTTTTCAATATAATGTTGTTCTTGCTCAGATAAACATTCAATCTGTTCAAATACGCATATTCAAAGATCTTAGAGGAAACCTTTCACCTTTTACCTTTTTTAATAGCTGAGGTGATAGTGTCATCTGAACCAGTTTTTGTTTCTGTCTGTTTATGGTTGATATCAGACAAAGTTGTATGGTGGAACTGGCGCTAATTTTTTGTCCGGCCAGATGTCCCACAATTGCGTTCTCTTTTGAGTTATTATAAACAATTTGTTTTTGTAGACAGGTAATTTTATCTTTTAATAAATCACAATTCTCATGTAGAATGGCGTTTTTACCCTCTAATTCGTCGATATTACGTTCCAGAAGAATATTTTCTCTTTCAAGACTTGATTCCTTAATTGGTTTATAGGATTGGTCGTCCCCATCATCAGAAGTTATATGCTATACTCGCAAATAACATTTTTTCCTTGACAAGACTGTTTAAAACAACTTAGATTGAATACTTCTTTGCACTTAACACACCTAACTTTATTGGTGACACTTTTTTTGCAGTATTTGCAGGTAGATACCTCGATTTTATTGGGAAGAACTGAACCGGTATCGGAACCCGGTGCCATTTTAGTAGCTCCCTTCCTACCAAGCTTTATATTGAATTTTTTTCACCACTAGCAATATATTTTAATCATTTTAGTTATGTGAAACCGAAATATGGACCTATTGTCACTATGACAGCACTTATTTTCAATACATAGCCATGACCATGATGAAAATAGACTGGTGTAACCACTTGTCAATTGTTTTTTTCCAAAACGTGTAGACCGCGAAACACCGTAGCAAGGCCGCACCGGATTGACTGTAGATGGCGTAGGGAACATCGTTCCACATATACTTCACAGATATAATGTAAATTTCACATTTTTCATTAAATCAATCTCTTTTTCTCAATGTTTTCAAATTACGAATCAATATACGTTAATGTAAATAACAAAACAAAACAACCATTGTGTAGCAAGATCACTTCGGGAACAGCGCCATCTAGGGTTAGTTTTGCGCGGCCTTACTACGGTGATAGAATTCGACATAATCAAGGAGGCCAGAGGTCTACAAAAATTTCTAGGGTTTTGTAAGAGGGAGCTATTTCACCATACATATATCCACCTTTGCCATGACCATGACAACATATGACAATTCGTTATTGATAAATACCTATACTAGAATATCTGATCAGAACAGTGCATTCGGGTTAATAAAAGCAGAGGTGCCTAGGTCTTTATTGACTAGTGGTTCATAAAATGATGAAAACTACCTTGGTAGTAAAAACACATTTTGCACCTTGGAAAGGAGTAAATAATGGTAGGTTTTATAGATAGTGGTGGAGAAACTGAATCGAGCATTTTATCATGGCATAAACAACAGTTTCTTCTGCATCCAGCTTTCCTTACTCAAGTACCCGAAATGTTTCAACATTTTCCACTACAAACATGGTAGAAAAGTGGATCGTGACAGGAAAGATTTTCCCGCGTAGCGAGCCGCGTGGGATTATTATATGCGCTCGATCTTAAGACGCTTAATATTCCAGACGATCGAACACGCGACGTACGTCTACGACATCTCCCACGTCATCATCGACAACCTCCAATTCATGATGGGCGTGTCGGAGGAGCAGCGGTTCGTCGACCGTTTCGGCAAGCAGGACGCCATCATCGGCGCGTTCAGGTACAGTGGCTTTTTATTTTGGCATACGAATCGTGCTTCTTCGGATATTTATTTATTCGAGCATGCTATCACATTGTGCTGTTGTATACTCGTCTTCAGAAAACATGTCGCGGTTGGACGGTGAAAGCGCTCACACACCGTCCATGTGCGACATGTTTACTGAAGACGAGTGTACAATGCACAAAAATGCAGCGAGAGATAAAGGAATCAAATTTTTCAGACAAATCGTGATCTAAAAGTACTGTACATAGTCACTCACATTCAGAACTCCTATTGTTAAGAAAAATACTCATAAAGTTTCTTAAAGGAAGCAAGAAGCTTCGATTTGTGCAATCAAATGGGAGGACTGGTTTGAAATACTGACGAATTATGGTCGTGTGTGTTGTAGACATTTTCACTCTATTAGCTCCAATTGCAGAAGGAATTCTGAAGAGATGTAAAATAAATTAAAATCAAAACTGTGTGTGACTACAGTACTTATAGATCACAATATGCGAGTGGACTATTCTTTTTTATTTCTTTAATAGAATCATCACTCAAATACATTTCAATTTAATATTTTTTAAGAATTTTTTGGTCGATTTTTAGGTGCTAAAATCATCAATAATGCCATGGTAATTTTCATACGGTTAAAAATTTACCGCCAGTAAAAACTGATGCCACGATTTCGTAAGTAGGGGCAAATATGATTGGCAACTTCAGAAATATCAGTTATTCAAGAATTCATAAATTCTCAATCGAGAATCTGTAATATTCCTAATTAGCAATAAAAATTAAATTGTCTCAAAATGTTCCCTTATGATTGGTGGCTTATTGCTTCTAATAAAGTGTAAATAATAATTATATAAATCCGCGTGGGCGTGGTCTTGTCAGTTCTCAGCATGCAGCCCAATGTTGCCTAGTCCCCAACATTTACATAATATGTTGTTATGGAGAATAAGAAATATTTGGACATGCTGGTTGCTCGAAAAAGTCAAGAATGAACTATAATATCTATTTGATTACTTGATTATAATTGGTGACTTGACAACCTTGCTTCATGAGTGGAAATGGAAGATTTTCTGACCAATAACGGATGAAAACTGACTTCACCATTTATTCGACGTATCGCCAATTTTTTTTTTCAATTGCATTGCCTCGTTGGACCCAGCACTGGATCCAACGCCCCATAAGTCGAAACTTGTGCGGGGTTAGGAAAGCATACATTTACAAACATCCATGGCCTAACTGGGATTCGAACCCATGCCTATCGGTGGGAGTCCCCATACGAACTCGGCGCCTTCGCGCTCTCGACCACCGGGCGCCTATGAAGGTTTGTTTGAAATGAGCTCAGAAATTCAAAAATTTTGAACAACTAAACTCATTATGTACATTAAAAATCGTGAGAAGTTAGCAAAAATTAATTTGCATCGCTGCATTTTTTGTGCATTGTACAACAGTAAAATGTGATCCTATGCTCGAATAAACAAATAGCCCAAGAAACACCATTCCAATCTTTTGAAAACAAATAAGAAAAGTGAGGCGTTTTCACCTCCAGGGTCAGTGATCTGTCAAATCTGAGCGTGACCTATTTAGAGTACGGACACTATGACAAGCAGTGACAGTCAGACATAACCACAAATAAATTAATCATCCCAGAATTACGTCATTTGACAGGTCGTTATGGCAAACATTGTATTTTGTCATATGAAATCAGATGGAGTGGGATCGTTTCCCTTGGAACCCGAGTTGGAACCCAGAAGAGTTTCATGATTTTGTTTCGTGAATCTGTTATCATATTGTGGATGTGGATAGGGCTATGCTCATCAAAGGTAGACTAACAGATTGTTTGTGTACCCTTCAAGAAACAGTGTCAAAATCACGTGTTCTAGAATGATCAATTATTGATGGAAAAAATCGACAGTACACGTACGTACATGACACATGTTGCGGAAGAAGACCCTGTGAATAATGAGTTTCTAAAAAACCAAGTAGATGATGTCAAGATTTTTGGGAATTGGTGTGAATATTTGTCAAGAAATTCTGTCATTTTTGCAATTATATAATCTAGAAGAATATAGTTCATTTCATCCGTTAATTTTATTCAATTTTCTCCTATGTGACCTTACAACGGGTAGTTGAAGGTTCCGTTATAACATAAATTTGAAAGGCTTGTCAAATTGAGAAAATTGGGAAAGTAAGTTTGCGGATTTATTCAACTGTGGAAATACTAGAAATTTTGTCAAACGTAATCAATTTATGGAACTCTGATGTACAAGAGATTGTAAGAGATTGATTGTTTGTGTATTGTTTCCTTCACAGTGGAAATCCCAAGTCTAAAGTTGTACCTAGTTGGGAAGTGCGGGATCTCTACAACTTATAGTGGATTTTGAAAAACTTCTGCTCGGGTGCCAAAAGACAGGACAAGAACAATCAACCCGTAAACAATTTATTGTTATTGAAAATGATCTTCCGACGGCCGGGTTCGAACCAACTAACTGAAGTATCATGAATCCATCATTCAAAAATGTGTTTTGAACTATAGGAAAAAGTCGTATTTAGGCCGTCATTTCGGATGAGGGGGGGGAATCCGGACCCGATGTCTAGTTTCAAACGATAGCCACAGCGAGTAGAATTCTCGGTAGAATATACACAATTTAACAAATTTCGAAGACAAATGAGTAAACTTTACTCCACAGAGTAGGTATTCGAACGCACCCCAGTACCGAACATAACCTAAATCTACTCTCTCCGTTCAGGGAGTTCGCGACGAAGAAGAACTGCCACGTGACGCTGGTCATCCATCCGAGGAAAGAGCGCGACGACGAGGACCTCACGGCCAGCTCGATTTTCGGAGGGGCTAAGGCTTCGCAGGAGGCCGACAACGTACTCATCATGCAGGACAGGCGGCTGACGACGGTCAGAGGAAAAAAGTATTTGCAGGTGGGTTATAGGTTAGAGAGGAATTTTCAACTCTCCAGCCGGCGCGCCATCGTAAAATTCCCGACGAATATGTGTAATAACTTTCCCCACTTTTATCTATCAGTTGCAAGCATCAAGGAGTTATTCGAGCTCTAGTGTGTCTTCGAGCTAAACCCGTATCGGATTTGTATTTGTAGAGAGTGTTTTTCCAGTACTAATCTGAGAAATTACCTTTATTCGCGATAGAAAATAACACGTCGCCTCACCTGATGACAGCAACTTGAACACTTCTGAGCGGTTTGTTCTGATGATATGACCAATAAGCACAAACAAAAAACAAATAATGTGAACCAATGGAAACAAAGTAAACATGCCGCTTTGACAGCTTTCAAGAACTCCAATGGGTGGCGTACGCTTATTTTATATTGCGAATTCAAGGATTTCCTTTAATGGGAAGTGACACTTTCCAAACCAAGGTAAATAATGATGAATTGATAAAGAAACTTCACCTTGGTAGGTCAATAATAGTATCAATGATATGCAATATACACATATAGATACCGATGGGTATGCTACCCATGAAAAATGAAACATGTTACAACTTTATTACAACTGAAAGCAATATTTGAAGTTATGAAGAATTTTGATTCTAAAAATGTCACAACAAAAATCATACCTGAGCTGTCACTGTCATGTGTGAATTAGACCAATAATTGAAATAACCATGACTTATGGACACATTTTATGACAAATCAAAACGATTTCAGCTTAGCTTCAAGCTTAGTTTTCTGAATGATGGAAGTAAGATATGGTGAGCGTATTCGGTCATTATTACGTATTGAAAATTTCAGAAAAATCACTCGATCGCCTACTATGATTTCTCTACGTCACAATGAGCGAGACGTTGATTCTACATTTTCCCGCTAGATGGTGATGCTGCTATTGCTGCTGTAACGAGTGGAAATAAAATGGCCAATTGGCATTTTAGGTGCGCGGAACATATGTAACAGTGGGATTATTCAACTCTGAATTCGAAAAATCTGCAACAATTTCAAAACTGACAGATGTCGCTGTTCTCGATAGGTCGAGTAAAATTTCTGAAACCAAAGCGCATCAGTAATTACATCATATCTTACTTCCATCATTGTTTTCTGCTATGCGATTTTGGCCTTGGCGATGAAACGTGTGATGTGATGGCAGTCAACCAATTCGAATTAACCAATAATATCATGTTGTGTACTCTTGTGATTCAAGGAAACTTTTCAGCAGATATTCATTCAACAAAGTATGTTTCACTACTTAAAATACATGAGATTCGCAAAATAAAAATGTCCCAATTTAAGGTTACGTTAGTTTCATTCTGTAGTGAAATGAATAATGCAAATTGAGTGGAGTGAATGTGATGTTCACAAAGTAGGTATTTGAGATGTATGTATTGTAGTCGATTTATGTACTTAAATGTGTTTATGAAAGAGAAAAAGTCTTCAAAGCTGGATGTATCTGCGAGTAATTGATCTACCTAGTAGGAAAAATTCAACATATGTGCTTTGTTTTTGAGTGAGGATTTCATTTTTCAAATTCCTACTGTAACTTTTCACTTCTGGGAATAAAATGCAACTGAATTTAATCTCCAAGTCGAGAGAAAATCTTTCGATTATAAACTGATTGAAATTATCAATTTCTGTGAAATACAGTGAGAAAACTTTCATGAATAACATGTGAAACGGAGCATTAATGATTTAAGATACTCTACTGAAGAATTCAAACTTGAATAATATCACAATGGCCACCAAACTTTCGATAAAATGCATTGAAACTTGAATGTAAACAAACATTCAATGTACTTTACATTAGTTACTTGAATATCCGCAAGAGGGCGTATCGCTTATTTTGAAACACCTATAGACACTATTTATGGTTCCACATGATTTAGTCAAATCAAATTTCTTTTGTCCTCTGTGGATAGGAATCTCATATCTAATAAATCCTCAGAAGCAAAAAATTAAAACAACACCTGACTAAACAATAAGTTTATCGGTAACTTTCGTAATAGTTTTTCTCATGATGAAAAAAGAAAAGAGATGTGATATTTTCGAAAATGTTTTCTTGGAACCCACTAGACAAAGTTGGAAGCTATGTTGATGCAATGTTGAAGCAATTACTGAAACGGACGTTCAGCAATATTGCAAAGGTGAAGTTTGATAAAATAGCGTTGCAGCAATATTACATGTTGTTGTGACATTGCTGGATCGTTACATTTACAATTTACATTTGCAATATTGCTGAACGTCCGTTTCAGTAATTATTACAATCTTGCATCAACATAGCTTCCAAATTTGCTTAGTGGGAATCAAATTTATTGAAACTTGATTCGGTGAGATAACTCACTGAATAATTCTTCGCGTTCTGATCATCCTGTTTCAACCCTAATGCGACTTTGTTGTTAAGAGATGGCAATTATGTCGTCTGATAACATCCTGAATTAATTCAAAAGGTTCTGCACAACGAATCAGGGATGTAATTTCAAGGGATTAGAAAATATTATCATGCGGTTATCATCGGAAACAAAATTATACCCAAACTGATGTTTAGAAGAGCTCAGTTACCATACTTAGTGGAACTGAAAACAAAAAGCATTATGCAATATTTTCCATGCAAAAAATGTTCAGCTCCAATCTTGCTAAAAAAATAAATAATAAGTGTCAACTGAATTAAGTAGTCTATTCTATTCTATTCTAATAGTTTCTTCATTAGTAGGTGTTTTGAGAAAATTAATATGAAATTTAACAATTCTTTATTCAACTTTTTATATACCTAGTTCTTTCCTTGAGGAATTCAACACTGATGAGTGATTTTTTTGTTCATTTCAGATTGTGAAGAATAGATATAGTGGCGATCTGGGAATAATGCCTTTGGAGTTCGATAAATCTAGTCTGAGCTTTCAACAAAAGAAAACCAGAACAAAAAAATTGGAAGAATCTCACGAAACGTCACCAAATTCAGGATCTGACCAGGAAGTTTCCAAGTAATCCACAAGTTACCTTATATAATTTTGATAAGAGAAACTAATTTGTTTTTTAATGGAATCATATAATTTTTGCTTCTTCTTAATTTTTTCCCAATTCAATGATGTATCACAAATTGATATTTGAGTTAGTTTCTTTCAATATAAGATGTCAGAAACATCCCATCAAAATTATGACATTTGTGAAGAAACATTGAAAAAAAAAAACATTTTTCACCAAACAAGATACACTACGATTTTCTAATGGCTAACTATATCATTTTCAATTTGAATTTTTCGCACATTTTATTCAAAACCCAAATATTAACGTGTGAGACATTGTTGAATAAAAAAAAAAACATCTGGGTTGAAAAAACATATAATTCCATTAGAAAAAATGATTCCCCTGTTGGTGGATGAAATTGTATTGATTCGAATTCTATAGGAGTTACCTACATGTTAATTTTTATAATTAAAATATAAATTATTCTCATACCTGAATACCAATTGAATACTATTTACTGTTGGCGATTTCCGTGAATTTAGAAAATATAATGTAGCTATTTTTGTAATATTTTCTACAAGAAGTATATTTTGTTGAACAAATCATGAGTTTTGTATACTAGATTCCTTTTCTTTTAGGTCTTCAAGATATATTGAAAAGGAATATTCTCAGATATAATTATGAACATAACAAAATTAATATATATAAATAAATACATTGAGAATTCGCGTTCTCTATGTGATGAAAATATCAATTCTTTCTTGGTTTAGTCAACAGAAAACAACTACTTTCCTTGCTATATGCCACGAGGAATATTGAATTACATTTATTGAACACACACTATAAGAATTTGAAAACAAAATCTTTTGCATTCTCCTTCATATAAATACACTCACCAGTAGAAAAAACCGGCCACAAAAACAATTTGCCAAATTGTTCGCCCTGTAACTTTTTCAATTCTTTTTCGATTTTGGTGAATTTTCTCCCAAATCGTATATTCATGTCTCGGAATGTTTGCCTGAATATTAGGTCCTGAGGAATGCTGACGGCTTGATCTTAATACAGGGAAACACAAAAGTTACTTTTTCACCCGTAACTTCCTAACACCCTGTGGAAAAGGTGAGTGGTTGAACTCAACTTCATTTGGTTTTGAAATGAAGTGTGATCCCTTCTTAACACAATTGTTCTTGATGATATGTAGCAATCAGTCAGGCAGCAGAACATATGCAACCAGTAACACGAGCTAAAGAAAGGACATGAGACATGACTTTGAGTCGTTAACTCGTTAATCTATGCTTTAGGTATCTTCATAATACATATATACGGGGTATAAAAAAGTGAAAAAAATTGGTCACTCATAATAATTATTGTTATTAGACAAGATACTCATCTTCAATATTTAATATACAGAGTACAGCGGTTTAAGCACAGCTCTACCAATACAGAGATCGAATTGACCTACACGTGACCAACCAACTTCGTTTTCAGTGATATGTTAGACATTTACAACGTCAATAAATATTAGTATTCAATTTTGATGACACGAATTGAACTCGTAATACTATATTTTTACTGGAAATATTCATCGATTCACATACTCCAGCATGCTGCTTGAATTTCGGTCATAACAATGTTCCGAAACTTTTCGCCCACGGCTCGACAGTTTTGGTAAACAACGTCATCTCCGAAATTACTAGGCAACAATTGAGCTGTCATAACAATCACTCATGGTATCACATGACAACACTGTTCCTCTTCCATAAAACGTTGTTTACATTGAACTGTCTGCCATCTTTCAACCTATTATGTGACCAACCCTAATGTGACAGTGAAATCATTAATTATCAATTCTACGAGAATACAAAACGTAACCTTTCAAATCGTCATTCAACTTAATAACACAAATAATGTTGTATTCAGTGGCGGCTCCTCAGAGGAGGCAACGGAGGCTGAGCCTCCTCAGAGATTTTCCTTAAACTGATATTATCTATACTTTCTCATTAAAAGGACACCAAAATACATGGATTTTGATTTTATTTCCTGTTTTTAGGTAAATATTTTCGAATTGGCAACAGTGCTTGCCCACGCATCACACGTTGAAGTCTACAAATCACGCGTGAAATATTCAACTTGGCAACATCTATAGGAGGCTAGACTCCTTCACAATTCGAAACCCGCGCGCGCTATGCAAATGCCCGAATACGCCCGAATAGCACGTGTTTGTCGTGTCACGTCGCGAATTGCGGACAATCCAGCGCGAGTGTATTGTTCATGTTTATGTTAGGTTAATTGTTAGGGGCTCTATGAATTTCTGAAAAATTAGTGTATTAAACGATTGCGATTTGGTGGAATACTTTTTGGTGAACCCATTCAGTGCTTTGTCTTATGAAGATAAATTGATTGTGAAAAACAAACGTCCGACACCGGGATTAAAAAATCTGACTGTAACAGGTAACACACAAAATCGTTCGTTCAATTCTGATAATTATTAAAAATATATCTGGTTGACGGGATCTGAGGTCAGGAATAAGCTATTTTGTTGGTACTGCGTATTATTTTTAACCGATAAGTCATCATGTTGGGGGCGATTAGGATATGATTTGAAACATTTGCCTTGCGGATTGGATAGACACTGCAAATCACAGGAACACATCTCTTCAAGTATTAAGTTCAGGTCAACTGGTAAACAGAATGTCATTAAAGCTATTAATTTGGGTGAGTAGAGAGTTGTTTTTCACAATAAATCTCATATCATTCAGCCTCCTCTGTCATGAAAGTCACGAGCCGCCACTGGTTGTTGCTTTGAAAGATTATACATCCTTGCTTTTAGTCACCACACATCACCTTTAGAATCATTTCATAATGAAAATTGGCTAGTAATTTGTGTAATCTTTTCAAAAACAACTTTTTCTTCAAATTTCATCAGATAATTTTTTATTTTTATCACTCAAAACGTCTTCATTTGAGGAAAAAATATTCAATCAAACCGAAAGTAAATAAAATCACTCCACCTAAAGACTCATGATTTTATCAATCGGCTTATTTTCATATTTGTGTCAAATAATCAAGTAGTATTTTACCTTCGATAATGATTTGAATTGTTTTTCTGATTCCATTTTATCATCCAATTCCAAGATGACTTCTGAGAACTTGTTGAACTATGGGCCTCTATTTTTGGCACCATTAATTCACAATTCGTCTATTCAATAGCTTTCTACAAACAGGTTAAGGGTAGGTCAAGATTTATACTTAAGTGTACCCCTGTGTGTAAGTTTATGTCATTCATGTTCCAAGATAACTTTAGAGATCTTGTAGACCTTCGAAATAAATAAACAAATGAATAAGTAAATCAATTTATTGAATAAACACAGAAATAGTTAAATAACATAGACAACATAATATCTGTAAAATAATATGAATTGATATAATACTCATAAGTAGTGAGCAAAAAATGCACTGATCAGCATAATAAATGCTCCATCTGAAATATACTATGAGTTTGCCTATGAACCTAAAAGAAATATTCAATCAATAGTAAGTGACACTTTGTTAAAAAATTATTTGAAATATTGAAAAATATAACTAACATTTCATACGAAACAATATCAGTAGGACGTTTCTAAATTTCTGAAATCTTGGGAATATATATATTTTCTAACTGTTTATGTATAATATGTTCTTCTAATTTTAATGAAAAATTCACTTGAACAAAAATAATTAACCAGTTCTACGTGAGATTTAGCGATTATGTACAAAAAGTAGGGAAGTTGACTTCGACCGTCTCTTTGAAAGTATCCGCCAAACGATTATACAGGGTGTTAACAAATAAGTGTCACAATGAAAATCTGAAGATTCCTCATAGTAAAAGGAACATTTCTTTCCTCTTCAAAATTTTTCTCCTTGAAAACGGAAGCCCGGAGAAAAATTACGAAAAGGAAAAAAATGTTTCTTTTTTCATGAGGAATCTACAGTTTTCCGTTGTGACACTTATTTGTTAACACCCTGTATAATCTAAACTAAACATGATACAAAACAAAAATATTCTTCAGATATAAGTTTTGTGATATTGTTGAAATATCATTGCGATAATGTCCTTCTGAAGAAACCAACATAATATGAAGTAATTAATTTGACCTTCATTCTCCAAACACCAGTAACATGTCTACTTTTCCATCATTGCATTGCATAATATTATTATGAGACTTGTTTAAACCCAACAAATTTGATTATTTCTTGTAACAAAATGGGACAATATCTCTGACACAGTAATGACATAAATGTTGCTTGTAACTGCATTTAAAATAAATGGGGGAAATATAATTTGCTGACCAAAATTATTAAAGTGCTGCTGTCAAGTATTTCTGGTTCGAATTTTTCTCTTCAAATTGTATATTTGAATATCCTATATAGATATATAGCTGCCACGAGTGAAATTATCTCGATCCACCCCTTTAGGGGGGTAGTTTAACCTCGCAGTTTTTCAAAAATCCTTGCTGGCCGAGCATTTCTGATTCGATTTTTTTTATCAAATTACTTTTTTTTTTTTTTTTTTTTTTTTTTTTTATCGCTTGGAGCGCACGAAAGGGAATCCCTATAATGTTCAAAGAACATCGTGCGTTCCTGGGGAAGATAGGGACAGGAGGTAGGTATTGGAATTTTTTTTGAACTTTTGGAGATTATATGTTGTTGGGAATACTTCCACAGGCAATGAATTCCAGAGCCTAGCTGTTCTATGGATGAAAGAGTCTTGATAAAGTGCTGTTCGACATCTTTCGAGGTTGACAACGAAAGGATGTGCTGACTGGGCTTGTCTAGTTCGTCTGATTGGTATTGCTAGTGAAGGGATGATAGCAGAGATTTCCGAAGAACATTTCCCGTGGAAGTATCGATAGAAAAGTGAAAGGTCGCCGACCTTTCTACGGTGTTCCAATGATGTCAAAGAGTGAGTGAGTGTGGCGTCACCCACCAGGCGAATGGCTCTTCTCTGGATGGAATCTAAGAGCATCAGCGTATGTTTTGGT